TGAAGCCAGCCCCCCTGCCCATGAGGCTTTCTGTTTACCTCCTCCTAGGACTCAGTGAGAGATCCCAGTATGTTTCCAGTAAGTCCCTCGCCTTTTTCATAGACAGATACCAGCCTTTCCTGACATCAGGAACAGAGAGGCCTTCACCCAAGTCCTCAGTGGAGGAGAATGAGAACAGGAGAAGGAGAGTGTGGGAGGCAGGAGGGGTAAGGCGTGTCTGCCCTCCCCCCCCCCCCCCCACCGGGGACCTCCAGGCCAAGAGCTCCCCGGTTGACTGCCATCCCTCCCGGGGACCCCAGACCAGGTCTTGTCCTGAAAACCCCAGCAGGGCTTGCAAATGGGGTCTGGCTGTGAATATGTAACAGCTCTTTCTTTTGCAAAGATGTTTGTGATACATGTTTGCTTTCTACTCAGCAGAAAAGGAGAGGATAAGAGGGGTGGGGTAGGAAGAAAACCTGGGTGACTTTATGCTTTCAGGCAGGGCAGCTCGGGCCTCTGGGGGAACTGGCCTCAGAGGAGACCCTGTGAAATCTGTTTCCTGAGCTCAGAACAGTGCAGAGCAGAGGCCCCGGGTCAAAATCCTGGCTCAGGGCATCTGCGTGGGTTTGGGCCCATTTCCTCATTTCTCCCATCAAGCTTCCCTTTCCTCGTGTGTAAATGAGAAATCATAACCGCACCCGCAGGTCTCTCCTCCCTGGAGCACTGCACCGAGGCAACGCCGGCCGAGGGGAGCACTGGACACCTGCGAACTCAGGAGACAGCAGCGCTCCGCGGCTCCTGACCTATGAAGCACAATCGCCGTGTGTGTACCTTCCTCTGCCGAGAACACGGTGGCCACGGGGCTGAACGGCCCTTCGCCCTTGTTGTTGTAAACGCCCACTTTCACTTGGTACGGCGCGAAGGGCACGATGCTCTCGTTCCTGAACACGTATCGTGGGGCGTCGGGGGACGTGACCACGGTCTGGATCCAGGTGGTGACTCCCAGGGGGCGGAAGGCGACGACGTACCCAAAGCCCTCGCCATTCTGCAGCTCCTCAGGGACCGGCTGTGACAGAGAGAACTCCGGTCACCAAGGGGACCAAGGCTGGGTGCGTGCTGCTGCCAGCCCGGCCTGCAGGGGGCGCACCAGGGAGGAATCCACACAGTATTGCGTGGGTGCTAAGCTACCCACGTGGGCACTTTCATTCTGAAATTTTCCAAAGCTGTTCATGTGTTTGAGCATGATGTTTCCTGCCTGAGTTCTGAATGATGATGATAATAAGAATGATGATGGTAATAACAATAATAGTGAGTGGAATAAACACATCTCCTATGCCAAATAAGTATCACCTTATCCCTCATGTTGACTTTAGGAACAGAAACCACACATGGATATGACAATTAAGTACAAAACAGTAAAACTAGAAGAACGGGAAATAAAAACACGTACCCACTCAAAGCTGCATTTGGGTCACATCAAAAACTCCTACTCCCATCCCATCACGATCTCGACTTTTAACGTTTTTCAATGTCTTTAAATCGTAGAGACAATGCTAGTGCTTCTGCTTTAAATGTGCTCATTGAAACTGTTCCTAACTGTGACATCCAGCAGCAGCTGAGAGGAGGGCCAGGCAGCCAGCACCTGCGGCGTCAGGGGCGCGTCCCAGGGGGGTCCCTCACCAGTGAGGGCACAGCTGCTCCGGACGCCGCACGGGCAGCTGGGGGTCAGCAGCCAGGACCGGACTCTCCCCCTGGGTTTCCCAGCCCGATGACCTCGGGCAAATTATTTAATGACTCTACGCCTTAGTGTTCTGTCTATAAAATGTCACAACGATGCAATTTTTAAAAATATGAAAAATGCTAGGCCCAGTGATTAGCCGGCCTGAGCTCTAAAAGCATTAGCCTCCTGGCTGGCGTGGCTCAGTGGTTGAGCAATGACCTATGAACCAGGAGGTCACCGTTCGATTTCCTGTCAGGGCACATACCCGGGTTGCGGGCTCCATCCCCAGCAGGGGGTGTGCAGGAGGCAGTCAATAGATGATGTTTTCTCTCATCAATATTTCCATCTTTCTCTCCCTCTCCCTTCCTCTCTGAAATTGATAAAAATGTATCTTTTTAAAAAGCACTGGCTGCCAGCAGGACCCCAACAACCCCCCTAGCACCCCTCCAGGCCCCGAGGACTGTGAGAACAGCAGGATCCCAGCACCAGCCCCCCAGGAGCCCCCCACTTGAGGCCTCGAGGATTATGGGATCAGCAGGGCCCTGAAGGGAGATTCGACCCAGACACTCACCTCCCAAGTTATCACCAGTTCGGACCGGCTTCCGCCTCCCCCACTGACCTCAGAAGGAGGCACTTCAGGGACTGTGAGGTTAGAGAGACACAGGTGAAACCCTACCTGCCTTTGGCAACGTGTGCCTGAAAGAAGACGCGATCTTGCTCGTTTTCCATAATTGACATAATCTGATCACAGGCACATTGTGCACACGTGTCTGCATATATGCAACATATCTCTCCGTGTATGTACGCAGTGGGCCCTTGAGCAGCACTTATGCATGTGTTTTTCTCAGCGAACACCTGCCTGGGTTTGGATCTGCGGTCTGGAGTCCGCAATGCACAGAGGCAGAGCCGGCCACACGCACTGACCCTCAACATGCTGGACAGGGGGCTGAGCACCTTGTACTTATTCACAGGGGTCCTGGCACCAACCCCAGGGGACACTGAGCTGCAACTTCAGTTTCTGAGAGTCTGACTGTCAAATGTATGAGCATCAGTGCCCCTAACCCCCACCCTGTTCAAGGGTAAGCTGCCTATATCTTTGGGGGGAATCGGTACATAATTTACATTTGTATGAAATGATCAAGGTTTCAACCTGTAAGAAAACAAGTGGACTCAGTCTGAAGGTCTGCCAAACAAGGCCAGTGCTTCACCAGGAATGATAACAGGACGATCATAGAACAGCGGCTTTACATAAAGATGCCCCGCCTGGGAGCCTTGAGGTCCTTTGATGAGCTACTGACCCTCTCACAGGCACCAGCTTTCTCTCCTACGCCAGCCGGTGCTGAGAAAGCGCCAGGACGCGGCTAGAATACAGGGTCCCTGCAGCTGGTCTCGTTCACAGCGGCACCCACCGCACCCAGGAGGTGCTCGGCCACAGGGGACGCTCCTTAACATGCCAGGTGAGAAAATGAAGGAGCACCAGGCAGACGTGGTCCCCATGGCCCACAGCATCCAGGTCTGGCACCTGTGCTATCTGCGTTGCCCCGAGTGAGGCAGCATCGTTCAAGTTATGGAAACGGGTGCCATCACTCGGATCCTGGCTTAGAGCCGACATGGACACACGGGCTGTGTTTAAAACAACGTTTTACGGAGTATCGCTTCATATTACAGAATCCGACAGGGAGCCCTTGCGTCCCCTCAGATGCCTCGATCATGGGACAGGATGCACGCTTTTTTATTTTTAGCTGTGACGTCAGGATATTTTCAGAACTGTCAAATAGTCGTATGGTTCACGTGAATCGTTTCCTGAGGTGGGGCGTTCTAGCAATGGTTCTCTCCTGGCTGAAGCCTCAGGGGCTGGATGTCCCTCCTCAGGCACTGTTTGAACTCATTCGGGGGCCGGCGGCGGAGCGAGGTTTCCTGGCCGCCGGCTCCGAGTCATCATTATCCCACAGTCTGTCGGGGCTCCTTACAAATGAAAACAGCACTTCCCTGCTAACAGGGTGACGAGGTCAGCGAGTAATTATCACCTTAAGTGACAACACCAGATCCACTCAACATGCATTAGTGGACGCCGACAATGCCCTGGACGCTGGACATGCCAGAGTACATCTGAGGCACGTTCAAGGGAGTCTTTCTGACAAGTGCCGTACGGCCAGTCCTGCCATTAAAGACGGGGGCTCATTGCACCGATGGGTCACTGAGGCCGGTCCCCCGCTGGCCGGGAGACCAAGGCCGAGGGGAATGCAAGCTCGCACCCGGGGAAACCTGCCAACCCGCTCATTACTCAGGAAACGGAACACTAACCTGCCTCTTCAGTTCTTACTTTTTCTGAGGGCAAACTGGGTTCTCCACCTCCGATTCTGTTGCTGGCTACAACCCGAAATTCGTACTCCACCCACGGGTTTAACTCGACTACAGTGGCAGTGTGTGTATTCCCATCAATGACCTCAGGCACTACAAAGAGCAAGTCAGAGAGGTCAGAGTCTGCGTGGCTCGGTGCCGACTGGCAATCCACGGACAGGTACCCATGGCATCGGCCCGACCCCTTACCTGTCCTGGCGGCCTGCCAGCCCACGGAGAAAGGGGTCCTCGCCTGGACGGAATAGGAGGTGATGGGGCTGTGGTTGTCGGGGCCTTCTGTCCAGGACACCTGGGCTGTTGTATCTGTAATCTCTTCCACCTGCACGTTTCCTGGTGGCCCGGGGGAACCTGGGAAGGCAAGCAGGAGGAGCTAGGCCACACGTGTCACCCTCTTTTTCCCAAGGGAAGAGCATGCCACATGACCACTTTAATACCGTCAGAATCCTGATTTCAAAGGTACTTACAGAAAAGGCCATTTACCTGTAATAACCCCCCCCCCCCACTTCTGTTGTTAGGCCTTAAATCTGACTGTGAGGCAGTCATTCCGCAATCGGGATGCCTCACAGCGGCACATGATGCCTGCTTTTGAGGCCCCTGCTCAGAAGGATTTCTGCACTTTTTCAAACTCAATGTTTTTGCTTTGGGCGGGGTTCCCACTCCTGCCACAACTGGGCACATCTCAGTCGTCCCAGAAGGTCATCTGGGCTGCTGTGCTCTGGGAGACATGCGGGTCATTTCGGCCCAGCAGCAAATCAGCACCTTGGAGAGCAGCTCAGGTCCCCTAGGCCCGTGGTCGGCAAACGGCGGCTCTCGAGCCACATGCGGCTCTTTGGCCTCTTGAGTGTGGCTCTTCCTAAGCCTTAGGAGTACCCTAATTAAGTTAATAACAATGTACCTACCTATATAGTTTAAGTTTAAAAAATTTGGCTCTCAAAAGAAATTTCAATCGTTGTACTGTTGATATTTGGCTCTGTTGACTAGTGAGTTTGCCGACCACTGCCGAAGGCATTCAGGATGACACTGATTCTTCTGGAGTTTCCATACACATGCACACACAAGTACACACATACACACACAAAACACATATACACGTCTACACGCACCACACACGCACGTGTGCACACACACGCGCGTACATGCACACACGACGATTCCCTTTCATATTAAACTCGATCACTGACTTCACTACATGCTCACAGCACATCAGCTGAGCAGTTGCTGTGCTAAAGCTATACGGAGGGTGGAGTTGAAATTTTTACTTCTTTGAATTTGCACCCATCCTTACTGTCACATTCTCAGGGACCAGGGGACAAATCAACATTAAAATCGCAGGCTCCTCTGCCCCCTCATCCTGGTTTTGCTGCAGGGAGACAGGCCCAGGGAAGATGTTCAATAAGAAACACGGTGGCATCGGCGTTTACCTCTCACTACAAGGTCAGCGGCCGAGGAGACACTGTCCACCGCACTCTGCACCACGCAGACGTACTTCCCCCCGTGCTTCAGCTGGATGTTCCTGATCATTAGATCGCCCGATGAGCTCTGTGGGAATAAACACGCAAGGAGCACACTTTTATTCTGCAAACACAAACCCTCGTGAAGGTTGTGGCCAAGGAGGAGACCTGTATCCAGAGAGAAGAACACGTGGGGGAGATGAAGACCGAAACCCCAGAATGTATGGAAATAGGAACAAGAGGGTGAAAACCACACAGGAGACAGAGGGGAAACCGCCAGGCCTGCAGACAGATTTCCATGGCTGAAGACCAGCTTTCCTCTGGGCATTTATGTTTCAAAAATAAATGAGGGCAGAGGCTATGGTCTCAGAGTCTATTTCCTCCCACCAGGTGACACTTCTCTTTATAGCCAGCTCAGCACCCGCTCCTGCTTTTCTCCGGTCACCACCTGTGTGCAAATCTCCTGGGAAGAGGAGGGGGTGCGTGGGTCTCCGGGGGGCGGGGGTAGGGGCAGATTTGGGCAGCCAGGCTGGCTGGAGCTTTTTGAGCTTATGTAATTTTCCCCAAAAGGTGTGTTGGCTTTTTGTAATCAATGAATATATGCAGCCTAATCCGGATGGCAAGGGGCTGGATGGGTTGAAAGCTGTGATTTTGGGTTTTCATTTTTTAAACTGCCCCTCTCCCTCCTAAAAGACCACTTTGGAAACACTCGGGGTGAAAGACAAGCAGACCGACCTCCCCCCATGTTCACGCCAATGCTGCCGCCGGCACACAATCCCAGGGAAGAGCTGTTACCTGACTCCTCACGCAGCAGGAAACCAATTTCCCGAATTGCCTGTGCTTAAGGGTCATGTCGCGGTGGAGGGCTTACTGATTTATGCTGACGGCAGAATACTGTGACCAAGGCACAGGTCCATACACCAATTCAAGGCCACGAACCAGCCTTTAGACCAGTGGTTCTCAACCTGTGGGTCGCGACCCCTTTGGCGGTCGAACGACCCTTTCACAGGGGTCGCCTAAGACCATCCTGCATATCAGATATTTACATGACGATCCATAACAGTAGCAACATTACAGTTATGAAGTAGCAACGAAAATAATTTTATGGTTGGGTCACAACATGAGGAACTGTATTTAAAGGGCCAGAAGGTTGAGAACCCACTGCTCTAGACAAAGACCTGAATTCCCAAGCAAAGGGATTCCTTTATGAAACTCCATGTTTCCGCTACCTGTCTCTTGTAGGGAGATGGCTTCATGCCTCACGCAGAACCTACACCAAGCAGGGCAGCCGAGTAACCACGGGTGAAGCTCTCAACAGCCTGACTCGGTGAGAACCACTAACGAGGAAACCAGACTTCTGAGGCATTTCCTGAGCATCACACTCACGCTGCTTTTTGAGTCTACACAGAGCAGGAAGGAAGGGCCACTCACCCCGCCCACCTTCTCCAGGTGAGAGCCGTCCTTCTGGAAGTCGGCGAGCGCCCCGTTGAAGTACCAGGTGAACGCGACGTCCAGCAGGGGGTCGTGCCGCACCTGGCAGGGCAGGACCACGCTCTCGC